CATATTTCAATGTCAGTTCATTTACATTAATTTGTGCACGTGTTTAGTATTGTGTGTATGGTGTTTACCGACAAGTGAAATTTCTATAATTTAATTCAGGTTATCAAATCTAGAAGAAGCGGATGAAGGAAGAGAAATCAATCCATTGGAATAAATACGTCATATCTTCTTTCAACTATCTTCTTCAACATTTGCAAACCTTTTCGGTTTTTAACGTATTTAAACTATACTTAAATTTTTACCCTTTTTTCAATATGAAAATTAAATTTTAAAAAAAAGGGCATTCAAAAATTTTTCCGAAATATTACTTTTAAAAAAGGGTCTTTTCTTTTTTTTGCCAATTCTAAAATTCCCATGAATGTATTTTTGGAGAAAACAAAATCGGCTTTATTATCCCCCGTCGAAAGGCGGCGGGGGATATAGAAATAGTCTTCGTCCGTCCGTCCATCTGTCCGACATTTTTGTCCGGAGCATATCTCAAAAGAATTTGAGGTATCAACTTTAAACTTCATAGCTGGATAGAACTCATTGAGGAGGTGAGGAGGAGTGCAGTGCACAAGAATGATAACTCTATCCTGCATAATTTTTTAGTTGTTGCCCTTTGTTATTTTTCAAAATTAATTTTTGTCCAGAGCATAAATCAAAAAGCCTTTGAGATATTAATATGAAACTTCATAGGTGGATAGATCTCACTCAAGAGGTGTGCAGTGCATAAGAATGATATCTCTACCCTTCATATTCTTTTAGTTATTGCCCTTTGTTATTTTTTCAAAATTATATTTGTCCAGAGCATAACTCAAAAAACCTTTGAGATATCAACATGAAACTTCATAGGTGGATAGATCTCACTCAGGAGGTGTGCAGTGCGTAAGAATGATAGCTCTACCATTTATAATTTTTGAGATATTGCTCTTTTTATTTTTCATACTTTTTGTCCAGAGCTTATCTAAAAAAAAGTATTACAGGTATCAACTTGAAACTTCATAGGTGGATAGATCTAGTTGAGGAGGACTGCAGCGCACAAGAATGATAACACTACCATCCATAATTTTTCAGTTACTGCCCTTTGATATTTTTCATGCTTATTTTTTTCCAGACAGTAACTTATTAAGTATTTACTATATAAGGTATTCACTTGAAACTCAGAATATAACTTAGACTCTGTCCATCTGTCTTTCCTTCCGTCCATCAGTCTGTCCGTCCTTCTGTCTGACATTTTTGTCTAGAGCATATCTCTTAAAGTATTTGTGGTATCAACTTGAAACTTCATAGGTGGATAGATCATATCGAGGAGGAGTGCAGTGCACAAGAATGATAACCTATCCTGCATTATTTTTCAGTTATTGCCCTTTGTTATTTTCAGTCATCAGTATTCACATAGGTTTTAAATTTGTAATCACTTCAGCCATCAGTTTTCATTACCAAAAGATCTCTTAAAATTGAATTATTCTGCTCTACTACATATACATTCTTCCAATGAGCAAACACATTCGGCGGGGGATGGCCATGTTGACATGGCTCTTGTTTTATCAAATTTAGGTATACCCATAGACTAGAACTTTTTACGCTCAACAGTGCTTCATTTGCAAAACAAAACAAAAATATATAATTGTAGTAATAATAAAAATTAATTATTTATCTCGGGGGGTAATCTTTTCTGGCCTTTGAAACTTTGTGAAATCTTTCATTCCAATACTTTTGGCATTTGAATACTAGTATACCATACCTTGATTTATCGTGAAAATTGTCAGGCTCATGAAACATTTAATTACTTTCCGTAACTTGCACAAAGAGGATGTGGAAAATGTTTTACCTTTTTATTGTCTTCAAAGACCTTTTTCAATGTTATTTCATTATTTACTCTCTTTGTTCTTTGGAATTTCCATTGTTCAGTTACTACCGGTATTTGACTTTTTTCCGATAGTACAATGTGTTCTCCTAAAATAGATGAAATGATAAAATCATTGAAGATATATTTAGATATCGGACTGCGGATTTATATGTAGATGTGTCAGTTATGTATCCCAAATATTCTGTGCTATGCTATTTCTGTTAGACCTATTAGATATATTTGAAACTTAAGTGATTAAAAATACATTTTGTTTAATGTCTTTACCGGGTTCTGGCAATAAACAAGTGCTTTATACGCTCAAGAGTGTTCCTTTGCAAACAATGTCAGTCGACTAAAAATGTAGTGACCAAAATATACAGGAAAACAGTATAAAACGTTTTATGATAATCTGTATGTAAAATTTTTAATCTCTTTAATGAATGTGCTATATAAAGTATCCGGATGACCTTTATTGCACTTTTCTTCATTACGAGACGGTTTTATTTTCAGTTTTTCAGACAACTTGACAATCAAATTAAATATAACTATTTATAACATGACTTTCCCTCCTCTAAACTGTGTGTGTTGTCTAATGTTGAAACGAGCCGACAAAGCTGCCACCAAGAATTGTCATGTTTAATTTCAATTTGACATTTTGACATAAGTATTTTTCGTTTTCTTATAGCGATTCACTTCAAATGACAATTAACTTATTATACATAGATTCTGTGAAGGAAACAGTTTAGAGTCATACATGTTTATGAAACTTAATTGACACAGTAGAATCATTGCTTGATTGTTAAGAGAACAAACTGTTGTGGTTAAGTCTGAAAATGACAAACGCCCCGAAGAATGTTCTGTAATTTGACATTTCCTTGATGTGTTATTTAAAAAAAACGCTATATGTACAATTGTTTTCAATGTGAATTTATGTGCCTAATTTTTATTTTATTTGAATATATCAGTACAATTTCAAAACTTGCAGTATCTTTATAGATATGTTTTCAAGTGCTAATGTTTGCATAACCAAGATTATCAAATAGATATGCTAAAACGGAAAATGTCTGATAACATGCGGTCTGGTATGCCTACTATATATAATTATTTTCTGCAATTAGTAGAATATTACTTCAGTTTTAAACCAAAGAGATTCCGCGGCGATGATCACAATTCGGACAATAACAAAAAGGTTTATGTTCTAGGTAAATATACAATATAAAACTGTAAAACAACATTAAGTTGTCGGTAGTTTTTTTTTTCAGTAAAATAAAGAGTCGCATTTGCGACCTCTATCAATAGCTAGTGACAATGATTTACAGCTATTGGCTAACTCTCCCTGAATAATACATGAGAAATCTCTAAAAGTATTATATAACTGTGTCTTTCAGGACAAGAAAGACAATTTTATCTCGCGCTTAATGTATTTTTTATCGGACATTCCGTAAGGAATGAACAATTCACCTTTGGGAGAAATATTTTTATTCATTATTTTTTATTATTTATTTACGAGAAAGCTCCAAAAAAATCCTACATCCGTATCGTACAGGAAATCTCTGTTAATATCTTGTTCAATGTTATTATATTTTTCTGGTCCTTCGAGATCACAACAGCAGGTGTCAAGTGATGTGTGCCAGCTGTAACAAAAGTTGCCACGAACTTCACTTCAGTGTTGTGTTATTTTTCTTGTCCTTCGGGATCATTGATTCGAGCACTTAAAAATTGAGTACCGCTCGAGCCGGTGCTAGGGGTGTGAGAGATGTTGCACGTTTTTATTAACCTTCGTGTACATTTCATGTAATTTTGTTGTGGTTAATGCTCCCAAGGGATCACACTTTATTATAATTAAAACAGTACATACAAGCACCTGAAATCAAATCAAACATAGATATTAAGACGTTCAAATATTCAATACAATTTCAAAATGTTCTCTTATTGTCTTCTAGTATTTCTTGTAAATTTTACCCTGGCCAGCTCAAAACTAACCTACTAAAATGTTTACTACATACATGTTGTATATACATTTTAAAGCTCTCAGAATGAGCACTATCTTTATAAAGTTTGGTTTGTTGCATAACAAATGAACACTAAAGATATTTATTCAAGTTAAAACAAACGTTTCGTTGTTGAGAAAATTATTTGTTTCGACATTAAGTTTAAATTTTATTTGCATTTAGTGTTGTAATATTCTTCATTCCGGTAATAGGTCATTTTAGATATAGCTAATTTATAATGATACAATGTCTTTTTCTATTATTTCTTCATACTATTTGTGCTTAGTTACACAAGTTTAGGAACATATATTATGGGCAAAGATTACATCTGCATTTTATCTGATATGGGCAGCTGCGATTTTTCAAAGAGCAAAAGGAAGTGAATAATACCGGTATATCACTGTTTAAACTTAAATAATTGGACCTTTCGATTTTTTTCATGTAATGTTCACACTGATTTTGATACAATTCGATAGAAGTCATTTTGGTCTTGTCCTGTTGTGTTTACAATAAGCGAACTTAAATCAACGAGATTCAATAAATCACTGTTTGTATCAATCCATGGACTATTTGATCCATGCTGAAATTTGTGCATACCTCTAATGCTTATCTATTCTAAGGAAATCGTTTCACTTTTTCGACTGAAATTCTTTTTTATTAAATCTGAGAAAATCACACACATTTTTGTGGTTGGAAACTCACACTTAAATTGTGTTGAAAATATTTCTAGAAAAAAACATTTATTTTCTCAGATTATCTAACGAGTTGTCAATAATCATGCAAAGTCATTGCGAAAACAACTTGTTGAAATGTCTAGGAAAACCACTTCTTGGTGCATGTAAATAGAGAAAGCTATAAACATTGATTTCATAGTCTTTTCATGGAGACAAAGGTATTTCCTCTTTAAGATTGACATATTGAATATATCTCGATTTCTCTGCTAGAACTACGGAAGGATTACATTCAAAAAATATTTTAGAGAACAAAAAGATTTACGTAAACAAAATTTATATACGGACAGGTCGATATGGAAGTTCGTCGGTTTGGAACAAAAAATCTTTTCTCTTAGATTGAGGTAATTATTAAGAGAATGAGACACTCCTCTGTCGCTTAAAATACACTCGATGTTTTATCGGGCTATTTAGATATATATTCATCTCATTAATTTCTAGGGAGATATCTAACACCGAAGTTCTGTTTACGGATAGGTCTAATAAAGAACTTACAACGGCTTTTGTTCCTTAATTGACAAGAGTAACTAGGGGTAATTACTCTGCATGGCGTTTCTGGGCCTGTCAATTACATCGGGCATGCGACGTGTCTCTAACTGAAATATGACTATAAAAACGAAATGTACGCATTATGGTCTTTAGTGTAAAAGAAAAGCAACACAACGGGGTTTGGAAAACAAAGGTAAGACTTATCTGCATATTTCATAAAGAATGTTTCTGTAGGAGATTTCGATAAATAAAATGTCGTTTAAACGACTTTATATCTAGTTACTTTTAATTCAAAATATTTTTTACATTTACTCTGAAAAAATAAGTATAATGTTTTAATATTTATACCTCTTTGTATATGCTTTATAATTTTTTAATAATTGTTTGTTGTAAAATTTAAAAAAAAAACAATCGCTTTTTAATCAAAATTTTAAAAACTTGGGAAGAATTTAAGTTATATTTTTCATTTTTAATATAATTATAGATTATATTTTTGTCAGGATAGAAGGTTTCTAATTTTCAATTTAAAAAAACTATTTATAGATTATACAGATTTTCAGATAAAATTGGCATAGATAGTGCATCTTATAGCTTTGAAGAAATTTAATTCTTTATTATTCATGTTATATTATGTTATGTTATGTTATGTTATATTATGTTCAATGCTCGAATATGTGCGTTATTCGTTATTTTTTGAAAATTATAGTATACGTATATGTTAATTGATGATGATGTTCATATATCTGTGTATTAATTCAATTATTATTGCAATATTTAATACGTAATATGTTCAATTAATAATGCATTATTGCCATACGTTGTTATACATGTATATGATAAATATTATTCATTAGCAATATTCTAATATGTTCAATTTAAATAAGCAAGATTCTCATCTTTAGAAGCAATGTTCGTTTAGTCATGGCATTTTGCTAAATTATATTTTGCAAGCATAGTTTTTATACTAATTTGTACATAAATACATAGACGTTTTTTACTCATGTGATTCCCAATTGTCTCTTTTATACTTATATAACTTTATAATTAATGTTCTTAAATCTACTTTTACTCTTATTCTATTTCCTGTATGTGAAAATATGTCTTATATTATATCAGTTAAGTCACATTTCAGTGACAACTTTTTAATCATTTAGTTTAACAATGATAATCATTTAGAAATGTCTTACCTTTTATTTCACACTAATTTCAAAGATACAATATATTAATGTTATGATAATAAAAAAATAATTTAATAAGACTTATTCACGTGTAAAACATGACAAAAACTATTTTCCTTTAGATATACTTAACAATTTACAATTGAAATTTTAAAAGTAAAATTATATCCGACATGTCGTGTCGAGGGAAAAAAACAATTGGAATGATTTTGTTTACCTCTTTACCACATGATTTTGTTCAACGTATTTTCAATGATTTTTTAGTGAAACTTAAAGAAATTATTTGTGATATTATCAGGATATAGTGTATACTTTCGGTTTATACAGCTTACAGTCTCAATCAAACCGAGTCTGCAATTTTTATGTAATTTTGTTGTGATTTATGCTTCCGATGGATCACATTTGTTCCCTTTTTTTACATTATTTTTGACATATTTTCATTGTACGTTTTTATTCTTCAAGTCAGATTTAACATTTGGGCTTTATAAAGCAATAGGTTCATAATCACCTTTGCATTATACCTTGTATAAAAAAATATTTTTTGTCCCAGATTATACTTTTCAAAGCTATACAATTCTTAACAGAAAATAAAGTATGAAAGGATGTTAGTGGTGTTAGTCTGCGCAAGAATTCAGTACAATACTTTTCCTGTTGAAATTACATTTTATAATACTTTTATAAATTAAAACCCAAATTGTATTGTACCTCGATAAAATAATAATATATGTGTATATAATATATTGGAAATGTAAATCACTTCTTTGTCGGACGTACCGGCGAAACTTTATCCTTAAAATACTGCCAGGATCTAACAAAATATATATGCCAGATGCTACTTGATGTTTTCAATCCCATGTGTTAATTATTTATTTCCATTTCTATATATAAAGAGTCTATTTCAGCTTGACAGTTTTATTCTGATGTCTTTAACAATTACCTTTGATGATAATCAGTATAAATTTTCTTGAAAATGGCTCTTCAAGATATTTAAAGATTTTACACTTCTGTACTTTTAGTCTTTGATTCAATCTCTTGCTAATAAAGATGCATTTCCTAGATGTTTTGTAATTGTTTTTGTTGTGTGTGTTTTTTATTATTTCTTTCTTTCTTTCTTCTTTCTTTCTCTCTTTCTTTCTTTCTTTCTTTCTTTCTTTCTTTCTCTTTCTTTCTTTCTTTTGAAATATTGTTTCATGATAGGCATTAATTGTAATTTAACAAGAAATTAACAAAGAACCTTAATTGAAACCAAATACTTGTAGTAACAACGGAACTGAACCGTTTGGAAATTTAATGACTAATAAAGGGTTTAAACTTATATATAATGGAACATTTTAATAAAGTTAATAAACTGTAACAAAATATATTTCTACAATATTATGGCCGATTACCGAACATCAATGTTATTAAACACACATGAATATTTTACGCACAAAATTATTATGCTGCTATCATTTTATGTAGGATTGTATTTATTTATTTATCAATAATTTATTGCAGTTGTTATTTGCTCTATACAAGGAAATATACAAACATATTTCTTTCAAACAGGTTATTTGGAATTATTTCTTTTCCAAACTTCAAAAAATTATTTTGTAAACTACAGGCAGCCAGACATATAGCTTTACACACAAACGTTTGCTATAAGTCTTTGATTCTGTTTCGTTATTAAACATACACAATTTTCTGATCGCTCAGGGATTTGGCGTACAAATTAATATGGATTAATTTGTGATGCTCCGTGTTTTATAAAAGTATACCGTTTGTTATGGACATTTAGCATTTTATTATTAAAGTCAAAACAATCAAAGTGTATTTGTAAATCTACAACGTGATGATGCACACATATAATACAAAATTAATGAACGAATTTGATAATAAAACATACAAACAAAATGTCAAAATAAAATTTATTTTAAGATGTATTAAGTTTCAGATTTGGCAATCGACGGAATGACATACTTATAATATTGTAAAAAATAGAACAGAATAACGTGACGTTAAATGTAAATTGATTATAATAACGTTGTCATTATTTTGTCATGCCACACTTTGATCTAGTATTTTCAAGAAGTAGTTCAAGACAAAACATAACCTACTCATTGTGGGCAAAATGTCATTTACAGATTTCTGTTGTTTGTGAGTTGCTTTGTTCGCCCTTGCTCTCGTTAGAGCAAAGTGACATATGAGTTATGGTTGTCAAAGAAAATAAGATCACCATAAAATCGCATTGTGTAAATATGGTCACTGACCGTGCCTTCATTTTTCTTATAAATTCTTGTATTTGTAAAAGCAAATGTCAGTAAAAGAGGTACTTTCTGTCCTATAAAGGGAATAAAGGCATGACGTTGAAATTACGTTATAACTGAAAAAGAAAGAAAGTGTGAACGGAATAAGAATTAACTTGATATTAATTATATGTACTAGTATCTTATGCCGACCATTAAGTAATTTTTGAATACTTTGGATAGATAAGTAACCGTCTTTTAAACTAAAGTCACAAAATGAAATCTTACAGAAGCGAAACGCTGTTATGAAGATGCATATGAATTTAATAAGTTTTTTTACGTCGACTCAAAACAGTTATACTAATCGTATACTACCATTAAACGTAAATTAAGACAAACGTCATAATGAATAATTTAAATACATTTATGATTAATAGTGACAGAATGTAACATACAACGGTTACACATGATTATCGCACGGTTTGAAACTTTTCTTTTGTTCTTACTAAGCCATTATACTCGGTACAATTTCAATGAGCATTTAAAAAACTGTATTGATATATAGCAGTACAGTTTTTCCATTGATTCATAGACTGCTATATAGCGGTTGAGTTTTTTTCGCTCCTTGTATATATCAATGTAGTTTTTTTTCACAGAGGCTCCAATCGGGCAGTGGTAACGAACATTCCCAGTAGCAAAAAAAAAATGAATTCAATAAAATAAATAAATAAATACAATGAAAAATATAAACGAAGATAATTTATGAAATTTCCTCTCATTTATTCAAAAGGTACATCCGCTGAATTAATTATTTCCATTGAAAAAAGCTCTTTATTCTTGAATCAATATTGGTAACAATCAACCTCTTACATTGGATGTCTTTTGTATACCTTTTTTTGCGGCAGCGAAAACAACTTGAAAAAACTGCATTATCATAAGTAAATGTAATGTAGCTAACGATTTATTTATTTATTTCTATTACAAAAAAAGAAAACATTATGCCATTGCGATAAAACAGTTATAGTATATAAAACTCGTTAGTTACGAGGATATAGCACTGGCTGGGCGACATCTCGGGATGTTTCTGTAAAAATTTGTCTCGGCCTATCGGCCTCGCCATTAATAGCAGAAACATCCCTTGATGTCGCCCGAGCCAGTGTTATATCCTCGTAATTAACTCCTTTCATGTACTATAACTATTACGTAAATTGATACTTACTTGCAAATTTTTGAATAAATAATATATCATAATTTCAAAAGTAATATGACGTTGAAAGGTCCAATAAATACATAATTTCAAAATTAAATAAAACTCAGCTATAAAATGTTTCAAAACTTTTTCCTTCCATCTTTGCTCTTGAAACGTATAATTTCTTTTAAATCTTAACCCGCGCAATAAGTTAGCTTTAAATGAAAAGAACACACTGTTTAAGAAAATAAAACTATAATCACTATTATGTAAAAAGAAATTATATACGGGTTTTTATTCGTCTTAAAACATTGTAAAATGGTATAAAGCTATTTATAAAGCTATATCTAATGAAACAGTTTTATAAACTTTATGAACAGTTAATATCATCTTTTATTTCATGCTTTCCAGTGTTTTATTGTAATATATCAGATGATTATATTCTGATAAACCACTAGTGAAATTTATGAAATATAATTTTCACTGTAGCCGGACTATATCTGAATGCGGATGAAAAGAAAATCATAACTAAATGGAATAACAGGCATAAATAAATGCAGTCATGTGTAAATTTTGCTTCTTTAGTAAAATTAAGTCGATGTCATCATACATCATGTTAAAAATGTAACAAAATTAGAGAAATGCAAAAGACCTATATTTCAAAATTGATAATGTGACGTCATGTTGTGATGACGTCACAAGGGAGAATGCGCGACGTTACGCGGCAAAATTAGTAAAAAAGTACTTAAAATCGCTTAAAAAGCATGAAATAAAAAGAAAATTTATTTGTTTTTCATATAAGATTGAAATATATTTCATTCGTGAACACCAGCTATTATATTTTCACTCGTGGCTACGCCACTCGTGAAAATATTGCATCTGGTGTTCACTCAGTGAAATTATATTTCAAACTTACATGCAAAACAAATAAATATCCTCTATGTATTCATACTATTGTGGTCGATTACAAAGAAACATAGAACGTGTCTGTTATTTAACACATTAAAACATGTATTTTCGTAAAAAAAGAATATAATGTTTAGCTGAACAAAATATTGTGCCACTTTCTTATACAGGATTTCAACCGATTGGAAATGATTTCATACATGTACCATTTTCTCTTAAAGAAATATCCAAACATTTTATACAGGAATTTTCGGCTATTTTTTCATAATTTAAACAATAAATTTGTAAACTAAATGCAGCAGACACGTATAGCTTAAATATATACTCAAATTTCACAAGATTATTTGACACTGCTTCAGTTTTAACTTTTAGTTGTAAATTAGTTGATTGACAGATGTCTTGAAAAATTTTATTAAAACGGTCTACACGCAATGTGCGAATTGTTGTTGACCTTTTCTACCTCTGATGACATTTTGGTGTAAACTTTAACTTTAAAGAAATATATTTAAAAGAGCTATTTAAGACGGCAGTAAAAGCCTTTTTGAATATTTTATGGTCACCTCACGGCAATTGTGTCGGATGCTTCTAATAAAACTGCATATTTAAAGTTAACGAAGAAACATTTCTTATTTCGTTCTGAAAAAAGTTAAAGAACTTAAACGAAGTAATAAACATTATGGTAGTGAAAATGTTATTTTCTAAGCTTTGTTAATGAAAACCTTATTATATGATAACTTAGCATATAAAAATCATTTCCAATCATGACTGGAATATAATGTGTGGAAGACATGTACAAATTTAATTCAAATAAGCCTTGCATTTGGACATTTCATTTTCGTCTCCCTTTTCTTCAGCTGTTTGTTTCGGAAATAATTGTTCAGCAATTACAATTTTCGTCATCATATTTTGAAAAAATAATCTATTTGTAATGATTAAGTATATTTATGTGCTCGTAATTTCTTGTTTAATTCTGATGGTTGAGAATTTATTTCAGGTTAAGATTACAAGATGCAAGTTACAATGGTACCAATCCTGCTTTTATTGTGTATGGCTGTGCCTAACATCAAGGCTTTAGATACATTTGAAAACTATGTTCGCAGGTTGGCTGAATGTTTAGTTATCTATCTGTTTTCATTCCTACAAACATCACAATATATTTTCTATGTAAACAAAACAAATGATATGTCTGTTATGTATCCACAGTCAGTTTAAGTAATGATAGTTTAAACTGATGTTTGTTCATAACAAATGACTATTGTTTCTACACCAGTTCTATTAGATTACAACTTTTTCACTCTTAGATTTCGTCTTATAGACATAGCTTTTATAAATGTAATATGTCTTCTCAGAGTAAAAATGCTAGCACCTATAGCGTTACGAGTATTTTGACACCTCAAGTGTTATTTTGATTCATATCAAAAGATATAATGTATAGAAAAGTATGCAAAAAAAGTCAATTCTTAATATGTCATAATAAATTTCGCACAGTTGATACTTTATTGATCTTATTGCAAATAATTATTGATGATAATTAATTATTTGAATTCTCTTTGTTAACAGGAACGTACCGAACGGTTTCACGATGTCTGCGTTTGTGGAAACATGTGAAGGATGTGGCGTGTTGTACGGGAAAGATTTCACATACAAATGTTTGGCGGATAAAACATTGAGCACTTTCAAGGGATGTTTTATAGCTGTGCACGATCGAAGATAACAAACAATTAATTTTGATAAATATCGTAAAGATCTCTTATATAAACTCATTTTCTTGTTTAAATACTTTACGTATAGTTTAATTTCTAAAGAAAAGATTGTTTTAGCAGTTTTATATCAAATCAATGCATTTTAAAATTATTTTCAAATGATAATATTATAATATGGTGCAATGTTAAAAGACTCTCTTCTTGTTTTATTAAAAATATAAACAGACAATAGTGTTCATAATAGTAAGGTCATGTTAATATAGGATGACTTGTTGAAAGCCAAAGATTACACCAAATTACCCGTCCTCACGTGGGAGTTTCCTGAGTATTCAAAAACATCCAAACACTCCCACCCTATCTGTTGCGCTCGTGTGATTTAACTTCACTTAATATGTGGGTGACATCCTTGCTGACATTTAACTGAACAATCTCTTCAACAAGAGACATTTTGGACGAGAGAAAAACAATAAATCTACAAAAAAACAAGGGTTACGGTCGAGATTTTTGTCTCTGGCGTAAGACCATCTACAGAGTATATAACCACTAGATTAACAACATATAATAAGTCTATACTTTTTACATACAGCTTATTTCACTTTTTTTAACAATTTACCTTGATACCAATTTTCATTATTTGCAGAAATAAACCTACACAGGGAAAGCTCGGGTATCTAATATTCCTTTGGTAAATATTTTTAATAAACTGTACATGTATAAAGCAAAAAGAAGCATGACTTTAAAATTCCAGCTAAAGTTACTTTCCATACTTCCCTTGCTGTTTCGTGAACCAAAAAAAGGTGAATAAGTAAGGACGCGTATTTAATTATAAAGGCACATTTTTTTCTTCTCCTAGATGGTATCAATTTGTACCATGGAGATAAACCAACGCCGCCAAGCACATGTGACTTATCAAACTATGATATAAGTTGGCGTTGCTGTTATCCAAGAAGTAAAACAGCCTTTTCTGAGAGGATACTAAGTAAATTAGTCTCTTTGGGTATTGTTATATTTCATTCTAAATGTCGAGTTACGAATGACCTACGACATTGATTTGACTGTGTCGACGTTATGTCTATAACTCGCGTTAGAGAGGAGGAAAAAACAACATGTCTTTCTAATACTTCGTTCAATATATTGTCTTATACGAAAGACTCAATGACATTTGTAGTCTGCATAAACTCAAAAACATCTTTATTTTTTTTACCCAGAAAAAATATTTATCTGCGGGTTGTTTCAATTAAAAAGTGAACTAAAATAAAAGTAAAACAAACAAAAAACCATCAACAACAAAAAATCCAAACATACATATATACTGCATGCATAACTGCAAAATGAAGCGTTTTCGTTACACTTACTAAGTGATGTAAATTTACAGTATAAAAGACAACAAGAAAGGATCAGATTAAAACACCAAAAGAATTAATTCAGTTCAACACACGCTTCGGAAAGTCTAAAATCTTTCAGGTAACCGCCGATTATGAGAGAGGCAACATTCTATAAGTATTGTATATCCGAGAGTCTATCTGACTTTATTCAAGGAGTCTAATACCCAGTTCCAACTTATCGGTCTATTCCTGTAGGATTATTGAGTATTCGGCTATGTGTTTTGAATAATCTGATATTTTAAAACAACGAAAGGAAACATAGAAAAATATCCTGTCACTGAAATATTATTTCATACTTGAAATCACTTCAGATACGTTAATTTTTACCATTTTATTTACTTCAAGCCTAAAATAAGCCATGAATAAATTTGATCTTTTAAATATTGGACTGGGATGAGACAACATATTGTTAAATCAATATGGCTTTGTTAATACGCACTTGTGCCGATTTTATTTCACAAAGGTCTGATATAATATACATTTTGGTATCAAGTTTTGTAAACATTTTAACAAGAGAAATATTGAGCGAATACCATTATAAAATCTCGATCAAGTGATTCAAAATAAACAAACATTCGTTGGATTCGTGTAATCAATGAATATGATTTATATTGACTCCACTGGGGCTCTTTGACTTGACTGGACTGGAAAAAACTCTTTTATTTATTTATTTATGTTCCATTCGATGTTGGTTTCTTGCAAAATTATCAGATTATTCGCTTAGACTGTTTTTCGAGAATAATTATTTTCATTCAAAATTTAAAAAACGTTGCACCGCTTTTCATTCAAATTGGGTAAGGAGTAGCACAAAAATACAATTTTTAGTTTATTTCTTAATTATCTTTTACATATATATTCTACGTAAGGTATTAAAATGTTATGTTTTTTTAGCTTTTTGACCTCAGTTGAGTCCCTTTATACATTGAGTATTTTTATCATTTTTTAACGGACCTACTCCAAATTCACCCGGTTACAAAAGTATACAATGACCCCAAATCCCGCGAAATGCGAGAGTATCGTATAGTAAAGCTGTAACGTAAATTCCAAAGCCTTCGGTCCTTTGTTTGAAATTTTAGTAACTAATTTACATAGGCAAAGAAGCAATAATTAAACTAGCAGTGAGAGTTTTCTTAAACTGCGCTTGAACAACATTTTGATAAGCACATACATGTTTATGTCGAGAACGTTTTTTTGGTCACATAATTAGTAGTCATTCATAGTTAGATGTTTTGATTTTACATTGACTCTTAAGACATTTACTGTTGAAAAACAAAACAAAAAGTATTCGCATTTCCAAAAATGCTAGAAATCGCCGTTCAGCCGAGTATTCGAAAAAAGTTCGTCCTGAACAATAAGAGAAATATTACATGTATTGTTTACCCTTTAGGAGCCTACACACTGATTTTGAACTTCGTACATGAAGATAGTAGTTCAATTCTATATATAAAGGTAACCCAACAAAAACATGGCGTATTGCGTGCCCCGTAAGTGCCCCCCTTTTGAGGTATTTTGTCGTCCATATTGCTACAATGTCGTACAAGTATTAAAGTATCCGTTTTGATTGGATAAAGGCAGGCGATGTCCGAGAACAAATGGTCAAATATTGTTCATTGTCGCCGTCAAGGAAAAACGACAATAAATAGAAAACAAAAGTCTCTAAAGATCGCCTAAAAGGCAAAAATGAATATGTTGCTGAATCCGGTTGAAACATATTAAGGATCACGTCTATATTTAGCATCATGCGTAAAAAGACTGGTTCAGATTTAAGCGCGTGTTAATAATTTCTTGAATTTTGCCCGGATATTAACAACAATAAATATATTTAAAAAAGTATACACGGCTGTGGTGCATCTTGTTAAAATAATAAGAAGTCAGTCTGTAGAATGGGAAATACAACTTGTAAAGTTAAAGACTTGTATTGGTTCTGAAATTGCCTGTAATTATGTATGAAAATATTGAATACAGAGGTAGCAAAAATTAAAACTTATTTCCCTATACGCGCTTGTGTTGTTTTGGTACAATCATCATCATTGCTCTTAAAAATTGATACAGTCGATCCCATCTCATCGACTGAAATAAGATCAATGCTTCAATAAATACCTGCCTGTTGATGATTCAAATAAGAATATCTTTACACAATGGAAGAGAGTAACACAGAGCTCAATGAATAAGTTTCAAGTTAATTTGTAATATAATTCTAGGCCATCGACCCAAATACACAATATACTATGAAAACATACATCAGGTTTTGACGCAAGTTATAATAAACATTAAACATTTGGGGTATTGGCGGCTGGTCATAATTATGTGAGTGACAAGAATACGACCACCGAGTGTATCACATAGTACCGATAGAGACTGAAACAACTACTACCATAATAAACCAGATTATAAGTAGACCCCGCACATGTTTTGTTTTTGAAATAAGATTTTAAAGAAGTAAATTTATTTTTAATTATACCTTAACAGTATAAGCTTATATTATTTCAGACATTATGCAAATACCAGTTTTACAAAATGTGTAATATGTAGTGGTTTTCAGTCCGACCGATTCCATTCAATAGTTTTTACAATGGAATTGTATAGTTTATATTGCAAGAATAATAACTTCAAATCAATTATGCAACCCCAAAACGCAACATTCAACACTATCCCATACTAACCCATCTTTGGAGCCCATGGGAACTTTACATTCATCACGAATGCAGTGTATACATAACAAGTACGCATGGGTTACCGAGGATGTAACTAACCGTGAGTATGTTACTAATGAACATTTTCTACAAGAAGCGATAGTTGCAAAAAAAATCTTTATAATATGAAAAAAGACTATGATATAACACTAAAATAAATAAAAACCGACGCTTTAAAAGTAAAATCGAAAATTATTTTCATATACATGTCAAAAAGGAAACATTTAGTAAGGTAAAACGCTTTTCGGGATAATCTGCCCTTTAGAAATGCATTTGATAATGAACAAGTAGTACAAGTTTAATGTATTACATGTAATTTCTTTGATAGTTTTATTTAAGTAATTTACCTTTCAAGTGTTGCCAAAACATTCATGGTCAAAAAAGGTGCCATAGCTAGGCAAAAATAGATGATAAGATTATCTGCTCTTTAGCGCATTCAGTTTCTAAAATTGAAAAAATATTTCAAGTTTGAAGTGATAAACTTTTACTGTACAGTCTTTTAGAAGAAAAAAAACTTAAGATCTTAAGCAAAAAATGGAGAATACATAACATTGCATAAATGAATTTTAGGAGTATCTGCCCTTCTGAAATAGTGTTCTACTTTGATTCTAGTAATAAACATGCATACCAAGTTTTAAGTGATAACGGATATTTTTTTTGTTTTCCCGGCTAAATATGAACTACTACCATGCACAGGTGCCAATTGCCTTTATTGAGGTTTCGTTGGATATATAAAGATATATTCAAAGGTAAAAGGTTATAACTGCCATTTTTGCTGAAATCGACTTTTTAGGTTTTTTATAATATACTTATTGTCCTTTATGTTTGACGAAAATATTATATAAATATTCACTCCTTATAAGGGCAAAACATTAAAAAGTATTTTGTAATAACTTCTTTTCTACAAATTATGTAGGGGTAAAAGGTTCTAAGTGTACTTATTACCTGTTGTTTACTTGTTGTTCCACATGTTGTGAAGAATCTGTAGTGGAAAAAGGTTATAACTGATTTTATTACCTTTTTCCTCTGACAGAATACTGCATTCATACAGTTCACAGGCACTATCTGTTATCTCTTTTTCCAAGAAATTTATCTTGTAGATTAAAATGCAGC